GACCCTTTGCTCTGTGGGACGATGCCCAAGCAACTGGGCCACACTGGTGAGGGCAATACTTCATTCCATCTCATGGCCAAATAACGTTCCATTGTATGGATGGTCTACACCATTTCTAAGTGTAGCCATCTATCAGTTTAGGGACATTTGGGTTGTTTCCACTTTTTGTTATTATGAATTATGAACATTCACATACAACATTTTGTGTGGACTTAAATGCTTTCTTTTTTTCTTTTTAAAAAATTATTTATTTTTTCCATTACAGTTTAAATTCAATGTTATTTTGTATCAATTTGAGGTGCACAGCATAGTGGTTAGGCAATCATGTACCTTACAAAGTGTTCCCCCTGATATTTCCATTGCCCACCTGGCACCATTCATAGTTGTTGCACTATCATTGACTATATTCCCTGTGCTGTACTTTATATCTCCATGACTATTTTGTAATTACCAAAATTTATACTTCTAGTTTTTTACAGTGCACTTTTTAAAATTATATTTTATTGATTCTGCTATTACAGTTGTCCTGATTTCCACCCCTTTGTCCCCCTCCACCCAGCACCCCCCACTCCCTAAAGCCATCCTCACACATTGTTCATGCCCATGGGTCGTGGGTGTAAGTCCTTCGGCTACTCCATTTCCTATACTGGACTGTACACCCCCGTGGCTATTCTGTAACTGTTTGTACTTCTTAATCCCCTCACCTTGTCACCCATTCCCCCACACCCCTCTTCCACCTTTCAACCATCAAAACGCGCTCTGTATCCATGATTCTGTTCTTGTTTGCTTAGATTGTTTTTAAGATTCAATTATTGATAGATATGTATTTATTCCCATTTTATTGTTCATAGCTTTGATCTTCTTTTTCTTAAATAAGTGCCTTTAATATTTCATAAAATAATGGTTTGGTGATGATGAACTCCTTTAGTTTCTTGTCTTGGAGGCTCTTTATTTGCCCTTCCATTCTAAATGATAGCATTGCTGGGTAGAGTAATATGGGCTGTAGGTCCCTCCTTTTCATGACTTTGACTTTTTCTTGACAATCCCTTGTAGCCTGCAATGTTTCTTTTGAGACATCAGCTGACAGTCTTGTGGGAACTTCCCTGTAGCTAACTAACTTCTTTACTCTCGCTGCTTTTAAAATTCTCTCTTTATGTTTAAACTTTGGCATTTTAATTATGATGTGTCAAGCCAGGTACTCCAGGTACGCCCTTTGTGTGAGCTGAGTATATCTTCCTCTTGTAGCTGAGCCTTGATTGCTGTTGGCAGGTCAATGGGAGGGATTTACCCAGGCCAGTCAGCTACAAGGACTGGCTGTGACCAATGACCACCAACCTCCACCATCCGTGGAGGGTCAGCTGTGCAGGGGCAGGGTGGTGGTTCTCTGATGTGATCTGTAGTTGTCCACAATGTACGCTGGCCCTGGGGTTTCCTGGGTGGTACAGGCCAAGGTCGGCCCCCACCTGTGCTTTGCCCAGGGACCCTACCTGAGCCATAAAGCAACCTGAAATGGCTGCTGCTTATGCTGGGCTTGGAGATTCCCAGGTAAAGCCAAGCTGTGAGTTTAAGCTGGCTGTCACTAGGGCTCACCGAAGCCAACTGTTGCTTGTTTGACAGGATTTGGGAGCCAGACCAGCCATTCTTATGGAAATGCAGCTTGGGTGGGCCTGTAAGTTGGGTGGGGCAGGGCCTCTGGGGCTCTCCAAGCTGGGGCACACAGTGTTAGTGGTGTTGTTAGAGTCTCAGACGTGGCACAAGCTTACCACTCTGTGGGGGGAGGCTTTAGCAAAGGGACAACGGCCTCTGCTTGCCTGTATATGCCAGATGCTTCCGTTTCTCCCTGTATATTACTTGTGCCTTTCAAGGTGCTACCCTGGTGCTGAAGCTCAGGGTGAATGAGTCTGAATAGGTGAGTCCCTATGTCAGTTCCTTAAGAGGAACTGCTTGGGAACAAGGTTTCCAGAGGTTTCTACCCCTGATTCAATCCCCACTGGTTTTTACAGCCAGAAGTTGTAGGGACTTATCTCCCTGGCACTGGGATCCTGGGCTGGGGGGCCTGGTGTGAGTCTGGGACTCCTCTCTCCCAAGATATACCTCATGAATTTATATCCATGTAGGTATGGGACCAACCTATTCTGGGTCTGTGCCCCTCCCACCAGTCTGGATGCATGTGGTTTCTTTATTCTGTAGTTGTCATACTTCCATTCAGCTCAGTTTCTGATGTTCTGAGTGATGGTGGTTCTATATTTTAGTTGTGATTTTGATATGGTTGTGTGAAGAGGTGAGCCATGTCTGTCTACGCCACCATCTTTACTGGGAGCCCCGACATATTTTTCAGTTCTCTTGGAGAGATACCTAGGAGTGGAATTGCTGGGTGTAGGGTAATCGAAATCAGTCAGGCTCCCTCACCCAGATATCTGGGCGACTACGCCGATAAGCAGATTCCCCTAGCCTTGAGATTGGGCCGCATGCACAGAATCACACTTTGTTATATAATATCTTGGCACCCTGCCGGCTTTGTGTGCATTTAGTAGGTAAGGGAGTTGGGACTTCCCGTGGTGTGACATGGCTTGTGGCATGTGTGGATAGCCCCACCCTTGAATAAAGGCATGTTGGGTATTTCCATGGCTCCACAAATTTTCTTCTGCCTGCCTGAATCTTGAGTGAACCTGCCTGGCCTTGAAAGGCTGCAAGACACTGGGGGGTACAGTAACTCTATATTTAACTGTTTGAGGAACTGCCAGACTCTTATTTATAGTGGCTGCACCGTTTTACATACCTACCAGCAGTGTATGAGGGTTTGGATTTCCTAAATTCCCATCAACACTTGTTATTGTCTTTTTAAAATGATTTATTTATTTATTTATGTTTAGAGAGAGGGAAGGGAGGGAGAAAGAAAGGGAGAGAAACATTAACGTGTGAGAGAAACATCGACTGGTTGCCTCTTGCATGCCCCCCAACTGGGAGCCTGCAACCCAGGCATGTGCCCTGAGCAGAAATGAACCAGCAACCTTTCTTTTGTCAGGCCGATGCTCAATCCACAGAGCCACGGCAGCCAGGGCTGTCTGTCTCTTTAATTATAGGTGTGAAGTAGAATCTTATTGTTGAAGTTCACTTAAAAAATAGATTTTATTTACTTATTTTTAGCAAGAGGGGAAGGGAGGGAGGAAGAGAGGGAGAGAAATATTAATGTGTGAGAGATACATCAGTCAGTTGCCTCTCACACACCCCCAACTGCTGGGGACCTGGACTGCAACCCAGGCATGTGCCCTGACTGAGAATCCAACCAGCGATATTTTGGTTGGCAGGCTGGCATTCAGTCCACTAAGCCACACCAGCCAAGGTGAAGCTCACTTTTCAATATGAATTATTCCATTGTTGAAAAGGTGAAGCCAGAGCCATTTGCTACCCTGGCACCACTTGCTGAGCAGGTCTGTAACCTTTTCCCATAAACCTGATCCCATTTCACTCTTCTGAGCTTGTCCCCAAGACTGGACATTACTGGGAAGCAAGAATAGAACGTGACTAACTGCTCCCTACAGCTGCAGGCAGAAGATAACATTGGAATAAACTGCAGCCTCCTGTTACAACACCCTAACAGCCCAGGGGCCTCACAACAGCACCCCCCTTTTTTGTATACTATTATAATCCAGTAAAAGCTCAAAGCCCCCTCCCTCAGTGATGGTGTGTGTCTCCACACTGTGCCTCTCTCCTCTCTTGGAGAGTGAATAAACATTTTCTCTACACTTTCTTCTCTTTGTGAATTCTTTCACAGCCTGAGCCGCCGGCCACCCTAACAACTGTCTTTGGACTAAACATTTTTTCTCCATTCCCATGCTGCTCCTCAACCCTTCCCACAACTCCCATTGTTAGTTTTAGGGTTATGCCTATTTTAATGCCTTATAGAGTCTCATTTCCCCCATTAAGCACGGTATCCTAAACCATGTCGAAGGTAGTCACAATTCCTTCAGGACTTTCACTCTGACTGTGACACCAAGTTGAAACATTCATGACTTATGATTGCATTTTCATACCTCCAAACTCATTTGAGCACTTTGATCTTGAATTTTAAGCCTTCTCAAAGGAGCATATTTCTGTAAAGAATTTATGACACTAAGCATATTGATGAGATTTTATTCATAGTAAAATTTTTAAAAGATTTTATTTATCTTTAGAGGGGAAGGGAAGGAGAGAGGGAGAGAATATCAGTGTATGGTTGCCTCTCGTGTGTCCCCTGCTGGGAACGGGCCTGCAACCCAGGCATGTGCCCTGACTGGGAATTGAACTACGATCCTTTGGTTTGCAAGCTTGCGCTCAATCCACTGAGCTACACCAGCCAGGGCTCATAGTGATTTTTTTAATAATAAAAATGAGTACTTTCTACACCCTCGTATTCCAATAGCCTACTCACAATGACTAAGAATAATTATTCTCAAGTACAAGGTGATATTTGTAATTGGTCTTTCACCTTCTTCAAGTGACTAGTTAGTTCTCCTGAGGGAAGAGACTGGCACGGCCAGTCCTGATGGAGGTCGGCTTGGTTACAATGCACTGCAGACAGTTCACAACTTTAATGGATTTGGAAACTTTACTTAGAATGTCTGACATGGTGGAGTGTAAAAACATGTTTGGTTTTTTTTTTACAATTTATAAGATTTGAGAAATGCTAAAAAGCCCTAGAGGTTAGAATAGTGTTGTCTACTAAAAAACGGTGTGAGGTAGTTCATGATTTATTTATATGAAGTTCAAAACTTAGCACAACTAATTCATGGCTTTAGAAGTCCGGATGGCGGCTGCTGGTGGGGAGCGGGGAGGGAGAGGGAGGGGTGCGGGGGGCGCTCGGGGTTCCTGCTCACCTTCCGTTTCTTGCTGTGGGTGGCGAGTGTTCCCCTTTATAGAAAATCTACTGAGTTGTACACTTAAAATCTGTGCGCTTCCCTTTATGTTACGTTCAATAGATTTTTAGATGTAAACTAAAAAGTTTAGATGTAAACTTAGGGTATGTTACCTGGCAGGGGAGATACCGTGATCAAGAAGGCGGTTTTCCCAAGGCGAGGCTCACCCGCTGCGCTCTGGACGTGCCTGACCCCTGTGATTTCCCACGTGTGGGAAGCTCGACCGCATGACTGTGTAGTGGGGGCCGGCGTTCACGCTCTCCCGTAAAGAAACATAGGGTATAGAAGTCTTTGCCAGTCTTTTACAGAAAGTTGACGCGAGAATTGTCCATCTAACAGAATTTTAAAAAATAGATTTTATTTCATAAAACGGTTGCAAGTTTAAGGAAAAACTGAGCATCTCATTCAGAGTTCCTTACACTCTATGCCCAGTTTCCTCATTATTAACAGCTTACATTAGATGGTATATTTGTTACCATTAATAAACCTGTATTGATACATTATAATCAACCGAAGTCCATAGTTTATTCCAATTCCCTTGCTTTTTCCCTTATGTCCTTTTTCTGTCCCAGGATCCACCATGACATTTAGTTGTCTCATCTCTCAAGCTCAGCTTGGCTGTACCTATCTTTCAGACTGCTTTTTTAAAATAAAAAAGATTTTATTTATTTATTTTTAGAGAGAGGGGAGGGGAGGAAGAGAGAGGAGAGAAACATGGATGTGAGAAACCTTGATCAGCTGTCTTTTGCACGCCCCCTACTGGGAACCTGGCCTGAAGCTCATGCACGTGCCCTGATAGGGAGGAACGGGCGACCTTTCGGTTTGCAGGTGGACGCTCAATCCACTGAGCCACCCCAGCCAGGGCCCCTTTGAGGCTGTTTTTGATGTTTTAACAGTTTTGAGGGGGACCAGTCAGGCGTTTTGTAGAATTCTCCTCCGCTGGGATTTGTCTCAAGGTTTTCTCATGACTAGATAGATGGGTTATAGGTTTCGGGGAGGTCTAACAGTACTTGGTGAAACTTTTTAAAAATTGTTGTTTATCATGTTCCTTAATGTCCCTGTACAAGGAGCTTTGTAGTAAATTCCTTTTTTATCCCACAGGAGAATAAATAGGGCTGTCTTCATAGATTAATTTGTGTGTTCTTTTTGTTGGGGAATCAAAACTATATAATCCAATGCGTTTTCTTTTGTGATTCTGCAGACACAGAAAACAACCTAAATCTGCTCATCTGGGGTGCCTGGGCACATTTATTCCCTCTGCTATTTGTGAGAAACATTGATCAGTGGTCTACCATACAATTTGGTATTTTGTGGCTCTTTCTTGCTTTCTTTATTTTTTATTGTTGATTATAGATTCTTTTGTTGCTTTTTTAGTCATTCTATTGTGTACTATGATTAATTTGTGAACCATCTGTATCAGTTTCCTAGGACGGTTGTAACAAATTACCACAGACTGGGTGGTTTAAAACAACAGAATTTTATTCTCCCTCGCCCTGACCAGCGTGGCTCAGTTGGTTGGAGTGTCATCCCATATCCTGGAAGGTTGTGGGTTCGAGTTCAGATCTGGGCACATAGCTGAATTTCAGGATCATCCCTGGTCAGGGCGTGTACAGGAAGGTAACAAATTGATGTTTTTTTTCTCACATCTTCGTCTCTCTCTACCTCTCTACCCCTTCCCCTCTCTCTAAAAGCAATGAAAAATTGTCCTTGGGTGAGGATTTAAAAAAAAAAAAGAAAAGAAATTTACTCTCTCACGGTTTTGGAGACTAGAAGTCTGAAAGCAAAGTGCTGGCAGGGTTGGTTTGCTCCAGAAGCCCCGAGGGACAGTGTTTCCATGCCTCTCTGCCAGCAGTTCTCAGCACTCTGTGGCCTGCAGACCCATCATCACTGGCATCTCTGCTCCACGTTCACATGGCCGTCTCCACGCACGTCTCTGTGCATCCTCTCCAATTCTTATAAAAGTACCAGCCATTCGATTTAGGGCCCACCCTCATCCAGTGTGACCTCCTCTTAACTAATTACATTGGCAAAGGCCCTATTTGCAAAAAAAGATTACCTCTGAAGTTCTGGTGGACATGAATTTGAGGGAGACACTGTTCAACCCAGTGCAGTACTGTATACTGTTTTGGAGGTAGATGAGTATAAATGTTAAATAAATGAAAAGAATAATTGTCACCTTTTACTAATCTACTGACTCATCAGAGTCATCAGGGATTTCGTAAATGTGTCAATGGTCTTAAAAGAAAAAAAATTGCCCAGTCTTGGCTATGGCTCAGTGGATTGAGTGCTGGCCTGAGAACCAAAGGGTCGCCAGTTCAATTCCCAGTTGGGGCACATGCCTGGGTTGCGGGCCAGGTCCCCAATGGGGGGCATGTAAGAGGCAACCACACATTGATGTTTATCTCTCTCTTTGTCCTTCCCTTCCCCTCTCTAAAAATAAGTAAATAAAATTTTTTTTGTTAAAAAATATTAAAAATATTGTCTAATAAAACTTTGTAGTTGACTCTCTTGTTTTTAACAATCAAGCCCTCCTCCCCCCAAAAAGTGATATGAAAAGTGCAGGAGAACCAACACCAACACAAGGGAAAGTTTTCCTGCTTGATGACCTGTGGGCGTCTCCTGCAGGGAACTCGGTGACACCCATGGAGCAGTCCGAAGGCCGCAGGGCCCTCTGTGGCTATTGCCATCTGAGCTCTGAGCAGGAAAGCGGAAGGATAAATCAACACTCCCGGAAACTTGTGGCAGTTGTCTGTTTCTTTTGTGTAATCAAATCTATGGTCAATTTCATGGCCTGCCTGGGCAAAGATACTATGAAGCAGAGCTACCAGTTACAGTTATTATGCCACCTATTTGGTAATGGTTACCAGTGGAATGTGGCCTTCTGTATTTTCCCAACCATCATTTCATAGGGACAGCTGTACTATGAACCTTATGAGTTTAAAAATGGGGGCAGTAATGTTTATTTATATTTTACATGTTATTTTAAGGTCTAGAAAAGTTGAGTAACTCTTCTGAGGTTATACAGCAAATTAAGGTCTAGAACTAGAACTAAGCCCCACAATACAAGTCTGATCTCCACATCATGGCGCAGAGCAACCTCTGTGCTGCCTGAATGAATGCAATGCCCTCTCCCCTGTTTTTGCAGCTTTGCCGCATATTAGAGGCTGATGTTGCTCATGATCATTAAATAATTCACTCAGCAAACACCAGGCACCACATTAGCAGTGGGAGGATTCTGAGGAGAACACCTTTTCAAAGAGTTTCAGTCTAGAAGAGACTGACATATATACAAGTAAATCTACCGCATTTTCCCACAGGGTTTGTACTTCTATATTTATCTTTGTCCCACTAGAGCTGCTCAAACCTTTTATTTGACAGATAGGGAAACTGAAGCTCAGAGAGCTTTGTTTGACCAACATAACTAATGGGTGGCAAAGCTGAGACACTGAGCAGAGAGCCTGATCTTTAGTTTCTACAATTCATGCCAGCTCCTTCTAAACCCCATTTATTTTCTTATTTTAGACAACCGTGTGGTAAAGCTTTTCAGATTAGAGAACTCTTGACTGTACTGAAACTAAGCATGTTGAGAAATACTAATTGTCCATTTCTGAGAGTGTGGTTGTCTCCTGCTTCCTTTGGCATACACATGCCAAATATGTGAACAGTATAGATAGGCTATCATTCTCTGAGCAAATTCCTAAATGTGTGAATAAACTTAACAAAGAACAGAGCCTGGGATTTGAACCCAAGGGGAGGAAAGCACAGGGCTGCAGGAGGAAATCTCTGCTTTTCTTCAGCATTCATATTTTTACTGTGCAGTTAATATTGAATGGTAAGATCACTAATCAATATAAGTAATAGTTGTTCAAAATGGTGTAGTGGCCTCGGGTGTCAAGGTACCTCTTAAAAATATTTCCTGCCTTTTGACCCAGCAATTCCACTGTGAGGATTATATGCTAAGAATCCTAAAATACCAATCCCAAAGAACCTATGCACCCCAATGTTCATAGCAGCACAATTTACAATAGCCAAGAGTTGGAAGCAACCTAGGTGCCCATCAGTAAATGAATGGATCAAAAAATTATGGTACATATACACAATGGAATTCTATGCAGCAGAAAGAAAGAAGGAGCTCCTACCCTTTGCAACAGCATGGATGGAACTGGAAAGCATTATGCTGAGTGAAATAAGCCAGGTGTTGAAAGACAAATACCATATGATCTCACCTTAAACAGGAAGCTAAACAACAAAACAAACAAGCAAGCAAAATAAAAACAAAGACACTGAAATAGAGAACAGGGGGACAGCGACCAGAGGGGAGAGGGGAGGGAATTTTGGGGGAAATAGGGGAGGGATTTAGAAGAACAAGTATAAAGGACACATGGACAACAACTAAGGGGGGTGGAAAGGGGAGAATGGTGGGGAGCACTGGGTGTGGGCTGGGATGGGAGTAATAGACAGAAAACTGTACTTGAAAAATTAAAATAAAACTTACAGTTTTCCAAGTCTAGTTTTCAAAGTCCATATCCACCAAAAAAAAAACCCCCAAAAAACAAAAAAAAATTCTAATCCATGGCTGGTATACCTCAGCAGATTGAGCATGGGCCTGTGAACCAAAGGGTTGCTGGTTTGATTCCCTGTCAGGGCAAATGCCTGGATTGTGGGCCAGGTCCCCAGTAAGGGGGCACGAGAGGCAACCACACATTGATTTTTCTCCCTCTTTCTTTCTCCTTCCCTTCCCTTCTCTCTAAAAATAAATAAATAAAATCTTAAAACATGCTTTCTAGAAGTAATAATGAAGTGATGAGCATCATCTTCACAGACAAGGAAGTGGAGAACATAGAAAAAAAGACATTTTGGTCACAGTACCAGTCATGGTTACATATCTTTAAAAATATGTGTATATTTGCAGTGTGGAAAATTCATTCCTAAACATAAATTTGTTCTGGATGTAAAAGTCTTGAGGTGCCCTGGCCAGGTAGCTCAGTTGGTTAGAACATTGTTCTGACACACCAAGGTATCGGATCAATTGTGGGATCAATCCCTGGTCAGTACACATACAAGAATCAACCAATGAATGTATAAATAAGTGGAACAACAAATTAATGTTTCTCTTTCTCCCTCCTTTCCTCTCTATAAATCAATAAACGTTTTTTAAAAGTACAAAAATCTTGAGGAAATGGGCATCTTTTTATTAAATATATTTTATTGATTATGCAATTACAGTTGTCCCATTCCCCCCCCCCCCCCCCTTATTCCCCTCCACC